CACTGAACGTACTCCACGTATTGCGATATAATTGACAACAGTAAGTTGTTGCCCCGTGTTTACAAGGTCACAGTGAGGGCCGTCCTTCTCTATGGGAATGAGACTTGTCCCCTTCGGTCTGAAAATCTGAGGCACCTTAAAGTCCTTAATCAACGCTGTAGGTGGAGCATTACTGATGTCGGGTGGCACCATCGTGTTCGCAATGATGATGTGCGTAAGCGAGTACTATTTCTTTTCTCAGCCAACTGAATCCATAGTGCTTTCGAATTCCTCCATATAGAAAGCAAGTTCTTCCATGGATCTTTCAAGGTTGTCCATGACGCTTTCAACCTCAATCCAACGAGTGCAAACACGCCCAAAAATTATGTACTGTACGTTGAGGAACCAATTTCAAATAAGCAGATATTATAACAGATGGGCACAGAGAGTGGGATGATATTGTCTCACTTGGATGTGGTCACTCAATGAACCGTAGCATTTAGGAGCGTTCATGCTCTCTGGATTCAACTTGAAAGGCGTTATGGACCGTCTTGAAAAAGTTATGGATGAACATGATTTCCTTTAGAAAGAGTTTGATGCCTTATGGAGTCATTGGCTGAGAAAAAGTCTAGACAGTGATGAACAGACTCCTACCTTGGAACAACAGATGGCACTGAATATGTTGCTTTGAATTTGGCACTTACTACATATGCATGGTCACTGTTTACCGAGGAGGGTCTTGTTTTGTTTGCCAGGTGCTGCAAGGCTCAAGGTGGGAAATAGTTAACCTGTCAGAGAGAAATGAAGTCACTCTCTATAAAACATGCTGCTTTTGGCCCGTATTAACTTCCAGTCTGGTGTACAGGTGAGTCGCCTTGTGCTTGCCTCAAGGCGTTTCAGGAGGTAGCTGGCAGTCAAATTCAGTGGCGCGTCTGTTGCTGTCTCGTAGTCGGACTGCTTGTTCAAACTGTGTTTGATGCTATTATCTGTAGGGTAATGGCTGATTATGACACGGGTCAGTAGAAGCTTCAAGGAAGCTGTCTCGCTGATGCTGCCTTATATTCGCACGATAGCCAGCTGTATGACGGCACGTTGTTGACAAAGCGTAGGCCCCTTGACCCCGAATGTTTGCTAAGGGTTTTAAAGTTTTGTGCTACATCCCTCTTCTCTCCCTCTTTTTCTTCTTCGTTCCGTAGGTCCTTTTGGTTATGCAACAGCGAAGCCTTAGTTCAACTGGCTTATGTAATGCCATTGATGATGATGCGCTCTCACCGAGATTGAAAACTTGGTAACTATCCGAACAGTTGGAATATAAAAGTAGGTGGCCCTGCTGCTTATGTCACCAGTTAAAAAAGCAGGTGAATCACGTGGTCAGAAATGGCACGCAGTGCTGGAAAATCATGTGTTCACGAAAAACCACGCTAGCGCTATTTTGACTTGCCACCCGTCACGAAGTATGGTAGCCACCAGAGCCCCACAAAAGTGCGCCCTCGCATCGTCCACACTATATGGAAGCGGGGTTGAGGACACACTTCTTTAGCCTTAATGATGCTCTGCGTGATGAATTAACTGGACTATAAATCTGTGTGTGTAGAACCCTCTGTAGTTTTGACTCCGTCATTAACAGCGCTCTCGGTATGGGCTACCGCTCATCTCTCCGGTTCACGGAGCATTCGTGGAGTTTACCTTCGTCAGCAGCAGGTAGGCCGCACCGTTTCGCGGTGCATGTTATACATCGTCAGTTCAGCGGATAGGATTTGCGAAGCCGTAGTTTATCTGAAATCCGTTTAGCTACTCTGCGAACTAGAGCCTCAATCGTAGCTATCGTCGGTCAGCTCCGAATGGGAGTGATTTAACAGTTTATTTGTAGACCCTACCTATTGTGGAACCTGTAGTCAGGCATTTACGGTTTGATGGCGGAACCCTGTGTTAAACTTCACTACGTGAACTGGCTGACGTGTTTTAAGAGAGTTCTGTGGGGTATGTTACGAATGCGATACGAGCATACGGTTTAGTTGGCACCAGTTGCACACAGTAAGGCGTAGCGATTAAACAAGTAGAAATGTGCCGCCATAAACATGGGTAGCATGGAGTCAGTCGGAGAACGGACATCCGGTTAACTGAGTCGTCGGTTGATATCCTTTTGCAGGGTAGTTACTTATTCGGAGCTACTTCCAGGTAGTAGCATCGTATTATTCCCTTCCATCACCAACCCTCCACCATGTACCGTCGGACAAAACAAGAACACACAAGCACACTCTTGATCTCCGTGGAGTCAATCACCTAGCTTGGTCACTCAAACCATTTGGGTTCTGAACTTGTTCCCTTATCTGATGTTTACGTTTATGTCATTCATTTATGATGTATTATCCTGATGAGGTGCCACTGAAAAGGAGCTTGTTGGCTATCATTTGTGCTGTTGTCTACTCCTGGGATGTTTTACCCGTTCAATAGGTATTTAGCGTTCAGACTGCTATAGTCCAAACCATTTAGGAAAATTCCATTCTCCACTGACCACAAAACTGCCGTCAACTTTTGGATCAGAAAGAGCGACAGCCAGATACACCTGACAAGGAAACTAGTTGCTGTAGAGTAGGAACAATTGTTTGGCTGGTGCAGGTCGGAATAAACCGACACATAGTCCTGACCAAAGTAAAGGTTATGCTTGTCTTACCGATTACCAACCGGAAGACGAGGAACAGGCTTGGTTTAAAACACTTTTGACATGGTGAGGAGCCGACCTCAGGGGAAGTTTGTATGGTGAGTTTCTTGTCCATCGACTTTCCACTTCGTCTCACCTCCAATCACGAGCACAGTATCTATGCCTCACACTCGGAACAAAGCGCAATATTATTTGCATTATTTTGTACTTCATTGTTTTACGCGTGACAATTTTGCTTTACCCCTATGTAATTGAGGGGTATCGTGATACGATGGCCAAGGTGTCTCATACCTCTAACTAGCAACGTGATTGTGACCCTGCCCTCCTTCTCTAGTTCCCGTCTTGCTGGAACCACATAGCTAAAGCGCGGCTCATATTCTAACTAGCGGTTGGTTACCCACTGTCCGTTATGCGGAACTATGTTTGTTTCGGCTTCACGAAACGTGTTTGTTGTCTCAATTGGGAATTTCATTGATGATTTGTAAACCCAGAATGAAACTATCTGGAGCGTGAGCATTGCAATGCTAGCTGTTGATATTCGCAAACGCATTCGTAACGAACAGACAGGAAACCGTTCGTTAGCTATTGTTCGTTACTAGATCAGCAGCATCGCTTACACACGTGAACAATACTTGCCTTGTAAGCCTGCACCATCAAGCGGCTTAGACGAGGAATATGCCTAGTTTCCGCCGGAATCACCATTTTCGCGGAAGACCAACTCGAAATTGCTCTACGGAACTTAAGTTGCCCTACACATAGTATGTCAATTTCCGAACAAATTAGATTCTGATAGAGACAAGACTTTAATTCTTGCAGGGCGTTTTACTCAATACTGACCACTAATCACTGATGCTGAATGTTTGTTTCTTACTCAAACAGATACAACTACTGCCGCTCTGTTTCGGAACAAGAGTTAATTGACTCGACGCATTTCATGATTGTTCCCGACCACTGCTGAAAGCAGGTTCCTTTGTCACTCGTCGACAGGCCACGCATAAGCCCGATCGCTTCCATCTTCACTTCTTATGCAGTTAAAGTGAGACTAGTTGGTTGTAAATGGATTTTGGGGAAGAATACTAGTTCACATAGCGTCAAAGAGAGAACATGGAGAATAATTATGGACTGTGCTAATTCAGCCGACTGAAAGCAACATTACTAGTGGCGCGTTGTGGGCAGGTGCATTATGCTGGTGCATGACCCACCTGTTCTTTAAAGTTTCTTTTAGGTTTATTAACGGACGCCAGAGCAATTTTTACAACCTCGTATATATATATATATATATATATATATATATATATATATATATATATAACGACCGATGGCAATACAAGTGGCAGTGTGCTGCAGGTGCAGTTTGCGTATACTATTGCAGGCCAATTATGTGCCCAACTGTTGCCCATCGTGCCGTAACAATACCCAGGGAATCGAAGAAAATGCTAGACGTTACATTGAGTCTCAAGCGACCTGTTCATAGTCTAAGTTGATGACCCTATCCTCTTACAGAATTCCTGCCTTCTAAAAGTCACTTAGGCCTTTCGAGGACACCTGCAGGGAACAAACATTCGCCCAAGTTAGACTTCTGAAAGCAGATAATAAATTTGTGCTACGGATGTTGTAAATTCTTGCAAACCTTGCTGTTGACGCACTGATCGCTTAGCATGTTTCGCATTCACCAATGAAACGGAACGCTCTCATTTCTGAAGCCCCATATGGATTCTAAAGTGCAATAAGATCGGCATCACAAGCATTTGATTTCATGGGACCTTGTCATGGACACACATCAATACGATGGGCTACAATCAAATATGGAATTTCATCGATGTGGTGCTTAGCCAAGAATAAATGCAGGTGAAATTCACAGCTTCGAACATTTTGATAAATCCCTTTCGCAACATCACCGTCTACAAGATTGGCACGTGGTGTTGCGCTAAACCATAACACTATCTGTTACTTTCAAAGTAAACAATAAGCCGCATATGATCACCCTACGGTTAGCGCTAAGTGATTGTGCTACTTTCCGGAACTAATACCAAAGCAGATGAATACTGGGTGCGAACCGCCTGCAACTCAGCACTCCACGACCGGTTTCGCACTTAGGTGCACTCGTCAGATAGCGATAGCAGGTCTGAGACTCGAATTCATGGCCTAGTGATGTCAGTTGAACTATCCATCCCTATACCACAATGTCGCGACCGGAAACACTTGTCAGAAGGCTTACTGACTGATTGAAGGGTGCATTTGAAAGTTTGGTTCAATACTGTGAGAAGGTAATCTCCTAATTTTTTTCAAATCGATCTATTATCTGTGTAGATACTGTAAAATAGTCACACATTCTGATGGCACATTAATTACCTTTTAGATTGACGATATCAGGGGAGTGTATAACTGCAGACTTCATACAAAATATCTCAATGGAGAGAAAACAGAAGATGAGATATTTCTTGATTTTCTCAAAACATTCCAGCCTGCGGATAGCGCTGACGATACGGTAAGCATGCCTGGTGATTGTGTGGTGGACATTAGCCTAACAGATTTCAGGTGGTGGACTTTTTATCCCTCCGCACCTTTTGTGCATCTCTCTATGTCAGAAAGTTTTCAATACTGTGTAGCCGTGAATATATAAGTCTAGCCTCACAGATTTGATAAAGTACACTGAGCAGTCATCCTATATGGATAAATTGGGTATTTATCGATAGAGCCCCATACGAGATCAATCTTGTGATAAGTTTAGAAAGTGATTGGATGCACATCTTGGGAACTTGTTCAATCCTAACTTAAATTTAAAGGTTTTGTAATAGTTGGATTAAGAAGACGCTCAAAATTCAACTGAACCGGGTGTCAGTTCAGCTTCTTCACTTTTTAGTTCTGACCAGAGGGTCTCCTAATCCACAGCATGTAGGGGAAATTAGGAACACTTCACTGTGGTGCCCATAGAATCAGGGACTCACACTTGTTGACTGAAACTGTCCGTAGATGACTTTGTTATCTCTTCTAAATCTTAATTAATATAAACACATATTCAAATCGAGAGACTTCACAGTAATCGTTAAAAACTATATAAATCTATATAAAACTTTTATCTCATTACTGAGCGGAGACTTCGGTTTGCGATCATCCTAAGTGAGACTTACAGGCTGCAACCTGCCTTGCATCATAATCATTTGAGAAAATAAACATCAACTTCGTTCTGCTATCTCACAGTCATATAAACAGTAATTTAGTGAAACAGGAGCCTATGGTAACACACAAATACCTAAAACAGACATCCGAAATCACGGTGTGTACGGTTTACCAATACCTTAGGGTCATATGCAGCTGACCATCGAGTAGAAATGGGGGTGATATCTCTCGGTCGTCACCGCCCTGCGTGACAATTAATATTATCCCACATATGTCAGAGCACGAAACACGGTTAAAACTGGCAGTCCAGATAAACAATGAACAACGAGTTATCACGGATAAAAAACAAGGTGTTTGACAAGTCCCGTAGGATGGTTGGAGCGAAAACTGAAAATATCAAGGGATAAGGGAATCGTCAGGTTAAGCGTCTGCCAAGTTAACTGCACTGCTGCATAACGATAGCTTGAAACGGGAGTTGAATGTGTGCATATGAAGTAATGTGGGCGGCAGTTACACTTCACGTACACCGTGCGAAAAAGTTTTTAAAAAAATGACAGCGTTCACCAGTGTGTCGGTTCATTGGACTGAAATAATATGTAACTTTAGCTTAGCTACATTCTGACAATACTCCACAGTAGCAGCCTTCAGTAAATGTTGCAGGAACTGAAACTGACCATGTTGATTGGTAGCGTTAGGTTGACGCACGGACAAAAAGGGCTATATAGCATGCTTTGAAAGTATGCGTGCATCATGCAGACATCTTTTGATTATCGTTAGTGTGATAAAAGTAACAAGGTTTATGGAGAGGGCGTTTCAAGGTTGGCGCACGCGAACTGAAAAGAAATTCAGATGGCATTCCAGCCGGCTATACGGGCTAGTCAGTTTAGTTGGTGACCTCGCAGAGTGGTATCGTGATTCAGCTTCAGAAGGTGACGACAAGCATGGTACGGATTCCTCAGGAACAAATATGTCATTATCAAATCGCCACGTAGGCGTCGATATTGTCCACTTTAGACCCCAAGGGTTTTCTTCTTCAGTTGGCAAGGAAACGAAGCAGGCCCTTTACGTTTTCGGTCGCGCTTCGTCGTGGCATTTCAGGTGCGGCGAGGTCGTGCTTGTGTCAGGAATGTCCGACGTGGATGGCGTATTCCAGATGGGACCTAATGTAAGCTTTGAGCGTCTGAGAAAGATTGAACGATCAAAACATCCGATTGCCCTCCGCAAAAACCCAAGGTGTTACTTTGATATTTCTCGATGCTATCTCGATCTGACGTGAACGGACCATATCCTCTTATACTAGCCCACCGAGGTAGCATTCCGTTGAAGCTCGCTGTAAAAGTTGATCTCGCAAGTGGATTGATGGCATAGGTTCAATGTCTTACACTCGGTGGGGTTGAAATAAAGCAGGTTCTGAGTCATCCATTCTGATACACCACCAATACCATCCTGAAGAGCCAGCTTGTCACCGGTTGTTTTGATAACCTACAATATCTTAAGATCTTAAGCAAAAATTAGGAACTTGGTAGAGATACGACTAAGTCCCGGCAGTGGTACAGCTTGCGCGAACACCATACGCAACGAAGTCGTGCCCTAGAAGCATGGGTAGAAATGTTGACCTAGGGCGTTGGCTGCTTCTGTTGCACTTGTTCTGGTCCACATTGGGATGGTGGTTGAACCGTAATACATCAGTAGACAAACAGAGTGTCCCACGCTATCCCAGCCAGTCGTGGGTCTGCCTCAGTGTGTTCCATCAGGTGATCGAGTGAGCGAATGCGTTTAAAAGTAGCTATGTTGAGAATAGAACGTTTGTCTGCTTATACGTTGTGTCTTCTTGCTTTTTACATGGCTGAGAGACGCAGGCTCGCAACGCACATGGCGTGTTTAGGGCAGGAGTCCATCGCTGCATTTACCTGAGTTAGTTAACATGTCTGTAAAAAAGCTTGGGTTTCAACAGAATTTCAACGACCCGTATCTTTGTAACCTGAACCTCGTAATCTGAGGGCGCGAGTTCGAGTCTTTGTAAGGGATCTGGCAACCTTCGCAACATCATTGACTCCCGTTCAACTGGTGGCGAATTTGCGGCAGTGAAGCATCTGTACTGCGTACTGGCGTACTGCTGATGCTTTCTTCTACTTTGAACAAGTTTGCACGGCCAGATCCCGTCGGTGGTTAAGTTTATCATTGTGTATGTTTTACGCGATGATTACGTTGGACAGTATAGGCATTCCAACTTTCGGGACCATGTGATTCCTTGTACTTTTGCCAGAGTGAATGACGTCACTCTCATCGCTCGCGGGGGCCTATTCCTCGAAGTACTGGTTACCAACTTGTTGAATTGATGGACAAATCCCACCAGGTCACATCGGGGGATAGCTCAGCTAGAAAAGACCAGTTGGTAGTGTTGTGTATACGTCCATAATGCGGGGCCTGTTCTAAATAGACACCAACACACAACCCCAGACACACACACAATAAGTTCATGTTTATCTGCTTCCCTATTGGTCCATTCTTCTACTTGCCTCACCTCATTTACTCACGTAGTTAGCTACCTTTCAGATTACAGTAGTTTGTTTACCTGAGCTGGTCTTCTTACTTTGACTCGTACATGTGACCATTCGTACACAACTGGTAGCATTAACGAGTGTAGTCAGAATGCCGTAATAAGTAATAAGCTGAGAATCATCGGCGTTTTCTGCAGAATACTCCCGTGTTAAAAGAAACCGAACTTTGCTGCAACATCTTTCTTTCTGACTGTACAACATTTTACACGCTGTCCGCCGCAAAGTAGTCCCATCTACGTGTAGTGTACCTTAGGTAAGGGTTTTTCTATTTTTAGTATGGTTCCTGCTACGCACTTTCTGGGATGGCGGACAGGTCTTTTGCCTCATTGTTCTGTATCTCCTCTATGTTTTGGAAATTACCTCCTTTCCACGTGAGTTTAAGGAAAGCAAAGTGGAATATGTCTGCTGGGGCTAGGTTCAGATAATCCGAAAGATGGAACAGAGTAGGCATTAAATGTTTTTGTTATCTAGCTGCGAATAATTAGCGAAGCGTGAGCCGGCGCTGTATTATGATGCAACTATCAAGTACGCACTAAAACGACGCATCTATATATTGTCACCCAAATCTGAAAGGCATGATTATAGCTAATGCCTACTTGGTCAGCAACTTTTCGAACAGATAGACGACTATTTCCACGGGTCACACACGAACCCTCTCGGTGTGGTATTCGTCTGTTGAGGTACGACGTCGTACAGTCTTGGGGTCTTTATCGATCGACATTCTGCTGCGGCTCAAGACGCTCAAACTACTCAAAGCACAACGTGAGACTCATATAGTCCTCCATGTTTGCTTGACTGTTCAACTGCAATGTCGCTGTAAATGGTTTATCAAGTTTGTATCAATAATCCACACACACACACACACACACACACACACACACACACACACACACACACACACACACACACACACACACACAATGTTCATCAAGCTCTTTCATTGATACCTTAACACCAATCCCACGAGCAGTTTGCACAAGGGCTCACTTCAGTGGCTCTAGCTCGTTAAATAACCATCAGAGCGAAAGACAGCAAATAGCATTTTGTTATCTAAACATGCATCTACGTGCGGCGTTAGCCGCAGCGAGCTACTACTGTCGGATGGTTCGCTATCTCAAAACCGCTTTCTTTCTGTACACAGTAGTACTCTGCATAACCGACGTATTTGGAGAAGTGTTAGATGATCACTGCAGCCCAAAGGAATAAGTAACAACACCGTTTCGATATAAGCTTTTCCATGGTGAACGCGGAATCCACGAAACGTGGCTTATTCTTTGTCCAACACCTTGTGGGGTAAATAACATGGCTGTACAGTGGTAACCGAATAAGTAACTTCTGTTGTTTCATGTTGACGTTTTCATCGAGAAAGGCTGTAGTCTCAAGGGCGTGAAGATTGAAGTCGCCAACAAGGAGAATGCGACAGTGTGACTGTGCGAGAACCCACTACAGAGTGGCGGTTAAGCAATTGTCCATTTCCAAAGTAGACGACGATGAGCGATACAATACACGCATCAAACACGTGTCGCCACGTCTTAGGTGAAGAGGGCACCAAAGCGCGTCGACAGTCGGAACCTCCAGGTCGTCGATGAGATCAAGGTGTAGCTCACTGAAGTAGTAGGGAAGTACACGACCTTCTTGATTCGGTCTATCGTTGCGCAGAATGGATAACCCTGGTAGTTCGATTACGGCGTCAGTGCCCACTTCACTCCACCATGTCCAGGTTACCATGATGAGGCCAGCCGACATTGAAGCCTGACACAACCGGAGCTCAATAAGTTTGCTGAAAGTTATTGTGCCCATGGGTAAA